TGCTTCCAGATAGACCACATCACAGCAAATCATTGCTTCATAAGAAAGCTTGACCACAATGCATCCATGGTTAAAATGTCCCTTGAAGACATCCCTATAACTGCTGCTGAAGGAGAAACTGCAAGATCAGGATAGCCCCACTGACTTTATTATTATTATTACTAGTCACACTGCTATCAGAGGAGCAGTTACAACTTTTGTTTTCCCTTCCTTTATCAAGTTCACAAGAAAAGTGGGGTTGTGGACAGAACATCCTCATTTGGAGGCAACATAACCTCTTCCTCTCACTGTGCCACTTGAAGAAGTGTGCTTCTTCTGAACATAGAACACAAAAGTCCCAGGCAAGGAGATATCTTTGATGAATTAGAAACAATTTGAAAGATCAAATAATATAAATTTAAATACCAAAAACATGACAGCTCTGGCCAAGGAAGCTGTTTTCACTTCAGAAAGTGTGAGTGATGTGCAAGTGACAGCAGTGACTAAATTGCTTTCAATGTCATTAATGAGCTCTGCAAAATGCTACACAGACAGCAGATAGCTTCTAGGAATTTGATCCTGACAAGGATTCAGATACTGACACACAGAAATAGAGAAACTATGCTGTTGATCAGAAATGCCTTTGCATTAAAAGTTTTGCCTAATCAATCATTTTGCCATGGTTCATATTTAATATATGAACATTTTTATCTTTCATAGTCAACAGACTGCACAACAACCACTCCCCTCTTGACATGCTCCTCTAGAACGTAAAACAGACCATTCCTTCACCCTTTTGCCACAATCCCAAAACTTGCATTTCGAAACAGATATAGTACAAACCTCATCATGACTGGCAGGTTTACTAACTAAAGCACATTTATCCTTACTGTCCAGGTAAGAATGTAAAATAGAGTGCAGTTGAGGAAAATTACAACTGACTTGTATCACCAGGACAGATTTAAAATAAATATACAAATACTTAAATAAATAAAACACACACACCCCAAAACCACACATACCTCGAAACCACACACACAAAATCCCAGCACACACAAAACTAAGAGCAGCAATTCAATAATTACCTTCCATCAAATGTAATTATATGAGGGTCAGTAAATGAGTAGCAATAGGCAGTGGGTAGATCCTTAACTGTAACCTTCAAAACCAAGAAGCACATAGTAAGCTATGTCAGATTAGGAAATAAACATACCCAGGTACATTATTTATCTCATGATCCTAGTTTACATTCTAACAAATATATTATATGATACTTTTAATCAATCTGAGTAGTTACATCAATACAAAAGTGTCTAAAAAAAAAGTAACTGAATTCAAATGAAAACACAGAATTTCAATGAAAATAAAACATGTAAAGTTGACCACTTAGAAATCTTAATGTGAGTCAGGAAGTCACAAGTGAAACAAAAGCTTCATTAACATCAGCCACACTTCTGAGCCATTTACAGTGTTTAACATGAAGATTTTCAACCTGTGTGCTTTCTGGAACATAGCCATTCCACAGAAAATTCTCACTGGATATAGGTTTGGCTGTAATGCTGGTAATTCTGTCTCCATCCTGCATGAAGTCTGTCACAGCAGTGAAATAAATTACAGCTCGACTACAGATTCCATTACTGCAGGGTTTCTGGAGAAGATCCACATGACAAGAAGAAAGAGCCAAGTTTAAACCTAACTGCTCTTTACCTGTTTTAAAGGAAATACAGCATTAGTGAGTTTTTTCTCTAAATAAGTCCCATTTTGTACAGTACTGTTATTATAGATACCAACTTAAATATACACACTTTCATAAATTAAAATGCATTTTTCTTGGGTTTGGTCATGCAAAATCTCCTCTTTACACCTTCGTACACACTCCCAAGAAAATGTTTTTGCATTTCCCAGTTTGATAGACAAATGGAAAACATAAGCTTGCTAATGTGACAAAAAAAATTGTCCTCTGCATAGGCAAGGCTCCTCCTGGCTCATGCGACTTGTTCTTGAGGAAGTACTAGAGAAAATGCCAATAACAGTAAAAAATTAGAACTTCGCAACTGCGTATATAATATGTGCAACACAACAGGTAAACTAATTCACTGAATTATAACTTTTGCAAGTATTACAGTATCCTGTCCATTCAAGTTAAAGAATATGGTTCCCATACCAATAGCTGCCAAATAAACATGCTAACTTCAACAAGCAATGGATTATGGACACGTTCTTCCATACTTTCAGCAGCATCATGTACAGCCTGTGAATACTTGAACATTTTAGAAAGTCTTTTACAGTGTAACAGCTTCTCCAAAGAAGAATGCCAGCAAGAATATTTAGAAAAAATGTATATAACATTCAAAATGCAACAAAATCAGGGTAACACTTACCCTCATCAACACTATTTAATGTTAGTGAGATTTTGCAGTCACTTTCAAGCCGACTAAACTCAGGACAAGGAATAGGAATGCTGCTTTCTATTATCAGTCTGTATTCCTTCCCATCTTCTGATATATCATATGTTTCTGGATGCATCTAGCACAAAACAAACTGAATTTAAAATGCAACCTCTGTGAGTACACTACTGCACTGCTTACTAGCCAGCTAGAAGTGCTTATTTAGATAGGCTGAGGAGCAGGAGGATATTGGGGAGAACATGTGGGTGGATACAGCAGCCAGAGTCTCGAAGAGGTGGGAAAAGGGGCAAGAATAAGGAAAAGGCAAGAGTAAAGGCTAGTTAGAAAGGTATGGAATTAGCAAACCACATTAACACCATAAAAATTTATTCTCTGGGTAACTCCTGGAAGCTAAGATACAAACAGTTTGGTGTACTGTCTTGGGGGGCAAGGGAGGGGGAAGCTACCTACAAGCAATTCCCAAAAGAATTTGGAAGCATCATATTTAACCTGGGATTCCTCTCCCTAAGTTTATAACACAGCTTGCTCAAGATGCTAAAGATGTATAATCAAACATGCAATTAAGAGATCAGTAACAGAGGCCTACAGCCATGTTTGGTACACTGGGTGAAATCCTGAATGCAGCCTTGCAGGGAAAGAAAAATAATACCTTGACACTTTGCAGTCTACACTGCAGACCTGCACTGAAAACTCTGGGCCCCGATCCCACAGAAACATAAGCTCAGGTTTAGCTTTATGAATGGCAAATCCTTAAGTCAACAGGACTATACTCAACATGCAATGACATGCAGTATGTCTTTCCAGCACTGGGGTCCCATTCCTGGCCAGCAAATGGGTCCCTATAGCTATATCCACAGTAGAAACTAAAACAAGTTTGATGCTTGGGCTCTGAGCAAGCAATATGGCACAGCTCATTTCCCAGCTTCCCTCTTTAAGCCCTGACCAGGTTGGCCTCACCTTCCCTTACCCCGACGGCCAGCTGGGAAGAGGAAGACTAGGCTGTCCTGTCAGTCATGTGCTGGGAGAGCCTGTTGGCCTGAGCCAACATCATGTCAGAAATGGCAACAGCAGTTACATGTAATGCACAAGTGTGCCTGAGCTCAGGTCTGAGCTGTGGCCTTCCACATTTACAAAATGTCAGAGTTGACTCTAGCTGCTGCAAACCAAGGCTTGCACTGTAAGTGCAAGGTGCCAATTCAGCCTTCCTGCACCTTGAGTACATGGGAACCAGAGAAACAATTGTGACTCTTCTGCATTTTGACAAATATAAGTTCACCTCAGCCTATTCATTCACAATTAGTACATTTTAAGTGCCTTCCAGTCTGAGGACTGACTGCTGTAGCAATACTCAAAGATTCCTACTATGATAAAGTAAAACACTATGTTTTTTCAGAATTACCTTAATGCCAGCAAAAAATTCCTTGCTCTCAACCGAAGAGCTTTGTACATCTGGCTTCTCCATGAAAAAAGCAGAACTGCTACAGTAGACCTGAAGGGCAAAACAAGCATAATAGAATACATTCTTGGTATGAAGTGGTCACATGAAGACAAAACCCAGTCACCATGGGTCAGCTCAATGGATTCGTCATGGCCAGTCTTCTGGTTGCACCAGAAGTTACCAGTTGCCAGTGGTAATTGGTGAGTACAGCTTTAAAAAAAACCCAGAAACAGATTGAGAATCCTAAGACCTTTTCCTAGCATTCTCTACCAGTGGTGCAGAGACTTCTTGAACTAACAGTTGAACAAATCATCATGTTTAGCAAGTACCTAAGTCTCTGCACATTTAAAAAATCTTTTCTGGAGCATTTCTGCAACTCAAGACATGCTGTGAAAATGCATTCTATACTTTTTTGCATGTTACTTACTTCTTTTTGTATGTTTCATATTTTTTGCCTTTTCATTTTGTTTAATGCCCCAGTTTATGCTTTTCCTGGTGTTACAGGCCTAGATAATCTTTTTCAAGATGATGAATTCACTGTGATTTCCCTCCACTGAACCAGTTCCATGCTACTTGACACTGTGGTTTGGCTTTGGTTTTGTGTTTGGAGTTTTATTTTATTTTTATTTTGCTGATCAATTTTGAGATGTGTTGACCACACATGCATTATTTCAGATCCTGAAAAAATCAAAGGTTCATAGAAGCAGCAGGTAGTTTATGAATACACCTTTTGACCGTCATTGACCCAACACTGTCAGGCAACTATCACAAAGTCTACACAGGATTTTTTGAGGATTAGCAACTGATATTGTTGTCCATAAACCATCCAGGCAGCCTGGCTTCAGCTTGAAGACAGACATGCACACCAGCTACAGGGTTTTTGGGTTTTTTTTTACTTTGGCCAGGAAAAATGAACCTACATTTTGGTATATACAGGTAAAAGGTTCACTGATTTTTCCTATCCTTAAGCTTCTCAAAATTACCATGAGAGCCTAGGTCTTGATTCTGCTACCATGGCAGGTAATGTAGGTACTCACACTGCTTTTGATGGCAGAGATTAAACCATCCAATTCTAGAGACAATAAAAATCCAATCCGAGAGACAAAGTCATCAAGCAGCAGCTCATTATTGATTCAGAGAAAAAAAATCTATCTAATGAATCAAGAACACAGCTTCTCACAACCTTTGGCTCTTACAGGCTCCCACTTCGATACAATTGCATTCAAAAATCCTCTTAATTTACAGTATCGAAGAGAAATCACAGTGGAAAGTGAAGAAGATGCAACTTGAATAAAGATTTACCCCCTGGATGCACACTACACTATCTTGAGACAGAAAGCCTTAAAACCTTAAAGGCGGTGGTAATTACTGATATATTCTGTGGTATTTACACATTCATATGGGCACTGTAGGTGTAAATGCCAAGTAGAAGCATTGGGCTTCTGCCAATAAAAATTATACAGCAAGGTGCTGGACCTCTCTCTAACACTGTTAGTGTCTACTGAGCTATCTTTCCAAAAATAAAAGAAATTATAATTATGTTTTAACATACTCTGTCTCCAAGTCTGACGTTTATCCCATCTAGTTCCAGAAGTGAGAAGGTATGAACTGCTGTTTCATGTGTAAGTTCTTCTTTGATACCTTCAGGAGAAAGTCTTGACCAAGTTACAATGAATCCAACTGAGCTGTTTGCAAAAGGAATGCCAAAGGTACACCTCAGGTAAATGCTGCCTTTGATCATCTCTGCTACAACTTCAGGAGTGGATGGTAGTGGTGGTGACACAGATGGAAATGATGTAGGAGCCAGGTTACCTAGACAAACAGCAGTGTGATGCTGAAGTGGGGGGAAAAACAATCCAAAGAAACCAAACCAAAAGCATAAACAAGGGAATAAAATACATTAAATTATTTTACCAGACAGGAGAGAGCAACATGCAAAGGAATTTGCCTTACAGAAGAATAATTTCACTACTTATGAAGAAAGTGGGGGGGAAAGGAAAAAAGGAAAAGAACAGGGCTATTTAGAAAGGAACTGTTTACAAGCAACAGTATGGTTTGCAGATTCCTTTTATATTTTAATCCCAAAGAATAAAAGTAATCTGTAAATCAGCATTATTACAGTTACTTTTTAACATTTTTGGTACCTAGTCAGAATATTATTCTGAGAAAGTATTATTGTAAACCAAGCTTTGAAATTACCTCCAGACTGCTCATTTTGCAGCAAACCAAGCAATACTGTTGATAGCATAAACATGTTTTTATTCAAGACAGAATATGACTAAATGTTGACATTATTGGGTCACAGATGCACAGAAAATCTTGAAAAATGAAACACAATACTCACTGCTACAGAGGCCTTGAATTTCCATTCCCTCAGGATCACAGGTCTGTGGCTTTGCATCTAAAACAACTATAAATTGTTCTTATATTTTATATTCACACACATACAGAGTATGTACATCAGTGCTCTTAAATTATTGCCCTATGTTAAAAATACACCAATTATCACAAAACACTAATTGAAGTGCAAATTAGCAGAACAGAAGCAACCTTGTAATCTGATCCATATACAACTTTGGCAGCAGTCAGTACAAAGCCCTGTGCTGGAAATCATCTAGGATGAAGGGTACAGAACATTCTACCACCTGTACATCTTTTACAGCAGGTGTACTCAGACAATACTTATAGATGCCATTAGGATGTTGTAAGGAATTAAACTATTCTTTTGAATACATACTTTGTTTCCCCAAGTCCACATCTGACCATCTATTCATTAACCATAACTCCGAAGAGCCAAATTCAGTGCAGACCTGCTTTGAAAAAAAATCATCTTTTCTACAGGGGTCCAAGAAAAAGTGTTTGTGCACTTTGCTTGGTACTTCAAAAGATATAAAAGAATAAGTAGAACTTTGACTAAATATGAAAATACCAGTGCATTTGTAACAGGAGTAGAAAGAGGTTAGTCACTTCACTCAACCTAAATCAGAAAGGCAGCAGCAACACTGAAAATCCCATTCACCAAAATGAATGAAGAGCAGAGTTTGCTGTTCAACACTTCAGTGATACAACTTTTGAATTCCTTAGCATGTAGAGGAGAGGCTGAAAATTTGCACCAAGTGTTTAAAGGTATCAAGCATTAAAGAGAAAACGCAGTACACATGGTAACCTAGATACAAAAAGCCACACAGCAGTACAATGCACTTCACATGAAAACATCACCTTAAATGAGGACTTTTAAACTCAAAATGTGTTTCAGATTTACAGCACTCAGCAGAGGTATGGTTTTTTGCCTGCTTTGTTTTCAGGCAGTAAAAATTTGCTAGCTCACAGCCTAGGTTTTATATCCTCTTTCCTCTTCATGAGCCATAATCCAAGGTAAATGGAAGTCCTATTGTCCCAGAGTTGTTCATTACTCCAGTCACATGCTGAACCCTTGGAGAAAGCCTTAACAATTGGACCTAATGTCATAATTATGGGCCAATAAAGCACCAAAAAACCCACAGATAGATTTGCCATTAAGCTTTTGAAAGCAGTCAATAACAGAGAATATGACTCAGAGCAATACAGTATATGATGCATAAAAACATTGCTACTATTTTCACAACGGTGTGTTGTAAGAGCTAATAAGAATTTCCTGCTACATTAATTTGCCACTATTTCACAGTATTTATAACTGAAAGGATTCAACCATGCCTTATTTAAGTCATCTGAAAAATCTGTCATGAATAATGAAATACTAAAGTTTTGAGCTGTGAACGCCAACACACTTTTGTAGCATAAGGGTCCAACACAACGTGAGACATTGCAAAAGGTCTCCACTTTATTCTTTCTCATAGTACTAATACAGTGTGTATCAATACAGCATTTGTGTCGAATTTTCTTCTAGCAACAACATGTATACTCTCCAGAAAGATGTTAAAAGTCACAGTAACAAAAATATTCCTAACAACACTAAACAATAATTGACATAAACACAGTTTGATCAACTCCTCAGACAAAATACTTATTACATAATAACTGATTACTCTGATACATAATTCTATGCACTTTCAGTAATGAGTATTTGGAGAGTATGAGTGCCACTGCAGGTACTCTGAATTTTTGACTTCTAGATGTGTCTTATAACTCCACCTCAATATACAGAAAATTTCAATTCTTAAGTTTCTGGGCTTTAAGCAATAGTTGAGTACTACATACAAATTAAAAAGGGGTGAAGTGAACCTACATTACCATGTCACAAATCATTCTTCTATTGTATCAACCTTAAATGTAAGGATTGCAAGAAATATTAGCATAACTATTTCCTGGCATTTCCACTCAGCCAAAGATCAGAACACACTTGCTTATCAACACACACACTTAAGCGAGTTAGAGCATGCATTTTCTCACCTTCTGCACAATACCCCATGCATCCTTGGGTGGGCTGCAGTAAGTAAACAAAGAAATCTCCACAGTTCCTCACACTGACAGGGATTCGGAAAAGGCAGCAGTTCTTTGAAGTGCTGAAGAAAAACTGCCATGTAGCACAAGCTGTTAACTGTTTGATCTCACCAGGTCGAGGCATGGATTCTGACTCTCTCAGAGACAACCAGACAGGGGCTTGAGTTCCACAGTGATTCATCTTCAGCACCAGAGAAAAACATCAGAAAATGGTTAATGCTACATCCAACTGCTGCTGTGCTTTAATGAGAGGTACATATGTAATTAATTTCCTTGATGATTTTTTAGCAAAGTTTAGACAGTATAACAGAGAACTTGCTGACTTTCCTCCTCCAGGTTGAACACAAATGCACATAAACAAGGCTTAAGTCCTTCACTGAGTCTAGTGTATTTGTGTTTCTAAAGACAGGCTATAATTTAGTGCCTGAAGAACTTAACCAGGAGCCACACCTGAGTGTTTTGCCCAAAAAACCTCACAGTTGTGTTGTGGCTTAGTGAGCTACTCTGCACCCATTACCCTACAGTAACTGACTGTGTGTCAGAGCACAGCAAATACAGAGTGAAACATACATACACTGAACATCAACTAAAGGCGTTAAATCTGACCTGGATTTCTCCTAAGAGATGCGGCCAGCTGATGCAAGGTTACTGACATGCAGACCAAGACAAAAATGCAAGACGGCTGATAAACCCTATTTGTCTTTCAGTTTCCCACCTGCAGAAATAATGATTGTAGCACCCCCATAATAACCACGGTGACTTTGTAGCAACCCTAAATCCTTTGCTGTTTACAAAGCAGTGGGCTTTGCTGTCTGTGGTTCAGATGCTAATTTAACAGGTGATTTTAGCAGGTGATTTTGCTCCTTCTTTTGCAAACAAAACCCTTGTTCAGTGCTTTTTTTCTTGGTGTAAGAAGCTTGCAGTAGAATACTCTCCCTCACACCTCACCACTGTGGTTATGTCCGGTCTTCAGGTCAGAGAAGCTGTCCTGAAGGCCACAACTTAAAAGTAGAACCAACCATGGTAACCAAAGCATAAGTTTGATTCAACAGACACCAGAGTTTACCAGTGGAATATGGAAAAATGAATTCCAAGGAGACAAAGAAGGAATCTAGTTCATGGGTTGCCAGAATAAGTGAAAGATCAACTCCTGTCTTTCACATGCTGCTGAAAGCAAATTGAAGAGAAATACCTAGGACACAGTGTGTTAAAGGCAGCATTTGGATAACATTCACATTAAAACTATAAATCTGAAATTGCAGTATTTTGAGAAATCTCTTCTACTTCATACATAACTTCAGGTATTCCTTGCTTTGACTTGATAGTGCAACAAGGCTTCAGATCATCTAGTCCTTAGACCTCTTGGTCTAAAGCCCACTGCAGACTCACTGAGCAATTACTTGTCTCAAAAATGTGCTTTTCTTTCTTAATCTAGAATATCTGAGCCCACCATCAATCCATCAGACAGGCAGAATTAATAAGAAGTAGGCAGAAATGGGATGGATTGCTTAACAGCCTGAATCTTTGACAAAGATTTAATACAGCAATAATAAAAGTTTTCCTAAAAGAAAAAAAAAGAGAGGAAACTTCCTAAACAAGACATCCATTTTAGTTTGGTTTTAATGCTTTGACTTTGAGATTTCAAAATAAATCTCTTGTTTTTGACAACACATGCAAAGAAGCAGATGTCAATGCATAAATTTAATTTGCTGAATAAGCTTTGAATCAATCTCTTTCCAACTGTAATCATCTGAGTGCCTCTGTGTTAGGATAGCAGCCTATTTTTACCAGTATTTAGTAAGCACTGAAAACTCTCGTGAGATTTCTAAAACTTACCTGGATGAGTTGGGTGGGTATTTTGATAGTCTAACTTATTTTTCTGAAAAACACATTGTTTTTTTGCCTGGATTATCATGCTGGTTCTACGCATAAAAGAATCCATTTTTGAGAAAATACAACTAGTTAATTAAATTGTTTGCATTTAATCTGAAATTTCTTCAGCAATCATACTTTTTGCTAATTTTTTTTTCAGTATAAAACCTGGAGAACAAGTGGCCTCTGCAACGGAGTCCTCTGAGTCCTTAAATCAGCTGCAAATTAAATGTACTTCAGTGGCTTCCTACAACTGTAAAGATTTAATAAATAAATAAATAAATAAAAATAAGAGGGTCTGCTATAAACTCAATTTAATTTCATTAGTATGTTTTAACCATTTTGTATTCCTTTAGAAGTGCTTCATTGAAATGATTTTTTTTATATTTTAAGAGACTGTGACCAGGAAATTTCCATTCAGTAGAAAAATCAAGGGCAAAATATTCTATTCACATTTGAAGGTTTTTTTAAACAAGAAAATGCTTTAAAATAGGAAACTACAAAGACATATCTCCTTGGAATATAGCAGAGACTCTTGTATGTTCCAAGATAAATAATTACACATCTAAAGCATTAAATATTTCAAGCAATACTTGAGCCTTTGGGGACTTGCGGATGAGAAGGCAACTAATCTTCAGTTAGCTCTGTTGGTTCAAGACATTTTAGGAGTAATCTCTTCTCTCTGACATGATCACTTTAAAAGCTCCACAATTATTAGACTCATGTAGCTGCAAGTCTTTATACTGCTTTCACATGGCCTTCCTAACAGACTGACCATCACACAGCTGCAGCTTTACAACATGAAATCCCTGCTATGCCACCACTGCGAAAATCTCCTTTAGCACTGACTGCAAATTAGTTTTTGAGTGCTCTAAAAGGGATGTAATTTATCATCATCTGCTATTGCCCATTCAACCCAAAATTTTCAATGCTTAAGACTTTATTTTCCAGTTAACACATTTTAAGTATTTAGAGAGAACAGTTACTTTGCATTCCTCCACAATAGTCTCCATAACCATATTCTTCTTTTATATACCTATTCTACTGAAGAATTCTTCAGCAAAAATACGTATTTCTCAGAATCAAACGATTCGTAACAATACCTCAACACACTTGGTTGGCATCTCTGCAGGCTTATCAAAAATCATAAAGCGATACCATCCTGGTGTTAGGGAATGGTCACAGATCAAATCCTGAATAGCTGACTGCTGGAGGTGAGATGAATCAAAATCAACACTCCTGTAAGGGTTCTGCAGGATCCGATGTCCACCAGGAGAGCATTCAAGAACTGTGGAGCAAGAGTATTTCGAGCATCAAGATGGAATGCCTAACAAGTATGTTAGAAAAGATGTTAAGTATTTTTACAGGAAAATAAGGATACGTTGCAATAGGATATGAAGTCAAATTTATGCAAAAACACACTGAAGTCTTAGTAACAAGAAAATATGCATGTTAGCACTCTGAAATTTAATAGAATTCATCACGTGATAACTTCTCCTTGTTTTAGTGGACAATAAATGCAAATTAATAATCACATAGGCATTTACCTTAGATGTAAAAACAGTGGGAGGGAAAATGTTTGTATATTCTACCTGGGTTTTGACTTTTTAGTTTCACTGATGTTTATGAAACCTAACAACCTGGATGTAAATGGGCTGTCAGATATATGAGAGGATGAAAATCTTACCTCAAGAGGAGGAAGGATTATCCAAGGGTCTTTTGTAAACAGGCTACCACTTTACAGGATTCCTATATATGAAATGAATAATTCCCTCAAATGGACGAGAGAGAGTTGCACACAGTTTGCAGGTACATGCAGATCATAGCAAAAGTGTGTATGAAAATAGGTAGATGTTTAGTTACACATTTTAAGTCAATTAGCATGACTGACATGCTAAATTATAATAAAGTAAATACAACTGACAAACATATTTTTGGACATCTCAGGGACCTTGTGGTCTCAAAAAAAATCTCTGATAGGTAAAATGAAGGATCAGAATCCAAAGAACTCTTTATGACAGTGAGTTTTTTAAATGCAGGCTCATTCAGAAATAAAGCAGCATGCCAGAATTTCTGAGTCTGATCTCGCAGCTGAGTTGACACCTGTCAAAGATGGCAACAATAAAAGTTCTGGCTAATGGCATATTTCTGTGCAACATACTGAATAGCCAGTCTTGCCCAGGAATGTGCTAGGGAAGGGAAAGCAGGGAAAAATAAAGTAAGAGAACATTTATAAATACATGATATTTAAAGCATACCTCTCTGTTTACCCTGCCTTTAAAAATAGGTACAACTGATGTGGACTGTGAATGGAATTTCAGTTTGTACTGAATGACATAGTGAATCTCAATTCTTGTTTTCACTGTAATACAATGAATTCTAAAAATGCAGCTGTAAGCAGAGCTCTCCAATCTTATATTTTGAATATGAATGCTCTGATCTTCAGTTTTCACTCCCAGGTTTGTCTGTATTTATTGCATATTTTGCATGGTGCAATTGTGTCACTGATCAGAAATATATTTTGGTTCAAATGCACTATCTTCTACATTTTTTATGCCATTGTCTAGATAACCACAATTATAAAACAGTTTCAAAATCAGGTAATTCCTCACCTTTAAATGGAGGAGAAGCCCTAGTGATTCAGCATGGTATAAGAATCCTATAGTCTTTCAAAGACTGAAGATTTAATCTGATATGGCTTTAGGCTACCCAGGCAGGTAACAATAGCTTTATCTTCTATCCTCTAAGGGCAGATGGAAGTCAGTGTGATTGACTGTGCCACCACTGTGTTTCTGAGTTACTCCTAGTAGCCTGTAGGCTATTCATGTCCACACAATTTGACCTTACAGAGAACTTATCCTTCCCAGGAATGTAAAGAAAAGCCCTTGAAGAACCACAGGTCAGTCATGTGTGTTATTGAAATGTTTTCCAAGCAAGCTACAGCACCAGCAGTTTACGAACCATGATGAAAGTTTCTTCCTGTCCTCTATTTTTTATTGGAATTCTCCCTTTCATGCAACACCCTCATTAGTTTTCTTTCCTGTAACTGAATCACTCCTGAAACAATTAATATCTGTTAGCTTTTCCATTAATAAATCAGGCTAGACATGAGACAAGTCTTTATTTTCTTTTCCTCCAGTTTAATTAGATCATCTCTTGATAGATCTTTAAAACAGCTGACTGTACTCACTTGTAATAGGGTTATAAATCCTACTAAAGATCAAATTAGAACTTTCTTATTATTATGCACATCACTTTAAAATGACATCCAGCTCTTTGCATGTTCTTTCTTCCTTTCTAGAGGTATGCTAATATTTCATTGTTTGGAAATCTTACATTTTTCTCTTTTCTTTTCTTTACCCATTCAGCAAAATAGTTGAAAATAGCTGCCACCATCAATAACACAAATAAAAATATTTTTTACACATCTGAGTGTAACTGAAGTGCTGTCTGACTCCAGCAATAGCAGAGACTAATAAAACTATCATTTTTATGAACACATAAAGAAGAAATAAATGCTACAAAAAAGCTACCCTTGCAGATCTGATCTGCTCAAACCATAGGCATTTAAGATGGCATCTGGCTAAATTTTCCACTGAAATCATTATTTCCTTATTCAGGATGCATAAAGAAAATAACTTTGATATAAGCATTTTTTCAAACACTCTTCCTAGAATGATGACTACTAATTTTGCAGTAATGATCCAGAAAAGCTTTGTCTGTGTCTAACAGCCAATAATTTTGTAGAATAGGTTGGGGTGAAAGGGACCTTAAAGACCATCGATTTCCAACCCCCTGCCATGGGCACGGACACCTTTCACAAGACCAGACTGCTCAGAGCCCCATCCAACCTGGCCTTGAACACTTCCAGGGAGGGGGCAGACACAGCTTCTCTGGGCAACATGTTCCAGTGCCTCAGCACCCTCACAGTAAAGAATATTTTTCTAATATCTATTCTAAACCTATTCTCTAAAAGTTTGAAGCCATCACTACCTGTCCTGTCACTACATAGGCCCTCTCTTTCTTCTAGGCTTCCCAATGAGCAAAGTCTGACAAAATTATAAGGGACTGAAAACAGGATCTGATAGCTTGAAGGTGCTAAGAAAGTTACAGGGCAAACCAGATCTGCCTAGTATGAGCTGAACATTAAAGTATGGGAGGATGTAGGTGCTACTGTTGACTTGACTTCATCCACAATCACAAAATATTCTAACATGTTCTGACAACAAATGCAAAACTCATGTAAGTTTTAACAAAATTTCTCATTTAATCATGATTATTCTTGATGGAAAGCTTTCCATGTATATAGGAATATTCTTTTTAATTATTTTTGGACCATTAAATATATTAGCGATTTAATAACTTTAATTTTAAATATTTGCTATAGATTAATGAAATTCTAATCATAAAATACACAAATGAATACTTGAGAATTAAGACCATGAAATTCAGGCTCCTTTGTACATTGTGCACTTCTGGTTTAACATAACCCAGAGGAGACAGATGTGATAGACTGATTTCTAGAAAGTCAAACTCTCACATTCTGTTTGAGGTCCAGATACTGCATACTGTCTGCTGAAAAAGCAGTCTATCCTGGGAAAATATGCAGCTGCTTCCTGAGAATTCGAGTTTAGTTATCATATTCTGTGTTTCCACAAACACAGACTATACTGCACATGGCTCTCTACTGCTATTCAACTCGGGTCTTTGCATGCCAGGAAGAACTTGATTCCATAATTGCTTTTTCAGAACTGTCTTCAGGTTTAGTAGAGTGAGCTTTGCCTGGATGCCAGACCTTCCCAGATCTTCTTGGTCCTACTGGATACTAAGAGCCCTAAACTGAAACATCTTAAACACAAGGACAACACTGTGCCGGTAGGTGAGCCTTTTGGGAGACATATTGACAAAATCTCTGCCAACACCTCAGGGTTTGTACCATGACTGGCACAAACTGGGTCAGATAATAGGTATTCTGAACACCACACCTTAACCAAAAGCCAAAGAGGTTCCTAAAATCAACACAGGAGCTCATTTGCCACAAAGAGATATTTCAGTGGCTCCCAATGACTGCCTCTGGGACAGTAGGGTGGAAAATGAGTTCCACAAAGGAAGGGCTTTTCAGCTTCCTGTTCACATCTCTGTTCCAAAGCATGTGCAAAAAGGGCTGATGATTTTCCTCCCATCCATAACATTTCCAATACGATGGAGCAGCCAGGAACTGAGGACTGCTGGGTACAAACCAGAGCAGAGAAAGAAAAGGAGCCATGGCAGAGTACAGACAGGCAAGGGCCAAACGGATGCAGTGGCAACTCAGTTCACAGAATTCTTACAGGTGGAATAGGCCTTATAGATCACTTAGGCCCAACCCCTCTGCTATGGGCAGGGACACCTCCCCACTAAACCAGGTTGCTCAAGGCTTCATCCAACCTGGCTTTGAACACTGCCAGGGTTGGGGCTTCTACTACCTCCCTGGGCAACCTGTTCCAGTGTCCCACCAACCTCACAGTAAGGAACTTTTTTCTAATATCCAGCCTAAATTTCCTCTCTTTCAAATTGTACCCAGGTTCAAAGACCTTATCAGTTTATATCTCCTGCTGTGCAAAGGCCAGGGTCTGGCAAATGACCACAGATAAATGGTGTCTTTAGCAAGTGCCTACTCTGATCATGAATGCCCTTTTTCTTGCATCTCCTGACTGCAGAGAATGCAGCATATCAATAGCCCAAGAAAGAAATTAGAACTAGGATGGCATTTTAACAGAAGTGCTCAGAATTCTTTCTGGATTTAAACTCTTCCAAAATACTAAAATAGAAGTCCACTTCGCAGTAACTAACTGCATAACCTTTATAAAAAATGTAAAATATAGGTTTATAGAATATATTCTAGTAGTCTTCAATGTAATCATAGAATCATAGAATCAACTGGGTTGGAAGAGACTTCAAGGATCATCAAGTCCAATCCTGCCATCGTTACCAGACCATGGCACTAAGTGCCACATCCAGTCTCATCTTGAAAACCTCCAGAGATGGTGAATCCACCACCTCCCTGGGCAGCACATTCCAATGCCTGATTACTCTTTCATACAGTATTGTATCTAGTCTTTATGTGGATTTTTGGTCAGAGATTTGAAGCAATACAGACACGGGTTTTGCAGAGGTCACAGGTAAGGATGCCAACTAGCAGTAGAACAAGAGGGCACAGACTCAAGCTCTGCCAGGGGAGGTTTAGGTTGGATATTAGGAAGAGATTTCTTACAGAGAGAGTGATCAGGCACTGGAATGTGCTGCCCA